TGACAACCCTAGTCATAATGATCAACCCAGCATGTAAAATAAAGGGGAGGAAGTTTGCAGGCCTGAGAAAACCAACTCATATGGCATATCATGTTGTGAGGGTCTTCTGCTCGAGAAGCCAATGGTGCACTTCACAAAATAGAAAAATAAAACATTTTGTGAAATACTGAAGCAATAACGTAATTTATCAGCCAAAAAGTTAAAAACTTGAGCACAAACGGGTTCTTCTAAGTAAACAGTGACCCTAAACTTAATGAAATGTTTTGAAGCAGTCATAACACAGGCCTGATTGGACAACAACATTGTTCACATTACTTTTAATTTGTTTTTTTATGCTGTTAATTTCACATATGGTAAGGAGCAAGTCAATGGCCTCTCAATAACAACATGTTATGTAATTTTTTGTAAAACTAAGTATGATTAGAGGCACGCCAGGCTCTGTTATCTTTTTGCAGATTAATTTAATTAGGTGGAAACAGGAGACAGATTCTAAAGCCGGCCGACCGCCTCAACCAACCCCTGCGCTCTTTATCCTTTTGGGCAAATGTTATTGAAATCCAACCTGAAGATTAAAGCTTAACAAAGAAATTCTTGTGAGATGAGCATCCTGTAATACTTTGGCAGTTGTTGGGTATCACCCTCTTTTAACATCATAAGGATTTAATGTCTCTGCTGTAAAATAACCTCCATGACTGACTGATTCTTTCTTTACTTTCAGAGACCTGAGATTCAACAAAATCAAGGATTTACAGCCAGGCTCATTCAGGCGCTTAACGAACCTCAACACACTGTAAGTCATTCTCTCTTTGTGTGAAGCAGAATAATCCTTCAGCTGTTCTGCTTGGGCTTCATAAATGGGGTTTAGCATCTTGATCTTAGTGGAATCCATTGGTTTTTACCCCTATCTGTACATTTTTATCTATCTCAGACTAATGCAGCCTTTGATAATAGTAACTATGTACTTTTACCCGTAAGCTTAACTACATAGAATATAAGAAATGCTATATTAGGGTACCCTTTTTTTTAATAATCTTTTCATTTTTCAAAATTATGGAAAATGGGTTGAGCTGCTTTTTAAATAAATATATAAAAAGAAAATAAAGCTTCGAATGCAAACTTTAAACATGCTTTTCTTTCCATGTGTACTATTTAAAATAACTATAGAAATATTAATTTCCACAACATGTTATCAATTTTACACACCTAAAACAAATCATAGAAGATTAGTAATTAACTATACATATGTGAAATTCTGTGGAGCTGAGCGTTCTATACTTTTGATCACATGAATATTCAAAATTTGCAAAGCCAAAAAACTGGCAGTATTTAGAAAGTAAAGGTAAGGTAGCAGCATGGGTTTGCTTAGGAACCGTAGGGACATGTCACTACCAAAATTTTAGACCGGCCTACTTGTCCCTACCAACAATTTGATGTGAATAACATGTTTATAACATGTTATGACAGACGAAAACATTTTTTATCTAAAATGCAAAATGTTTTTATTTATTTATATTTTTTTACAATTTTGGTATAATTCCTGCTCTACTGTAAGTGGGTCTCTTTGTCAGCTAAAGGCATGTTTTAGAGTTTCTTTACTTTAGTTAATGATTAATCGATTACTAAATTATTTTACATTAATTCACGATTAATCTGAGCAATTCGATTGATTCTAGTAATCACGATTAATCTAAAGAATTGTTTCAGCCCTAGATAAAATAGATGAAGTTGGTTAAACAAAGTAACTACAGCCCAGATGTACATCTTCTATAGTGAAGTTGATATTTTAAATGCTCAGTGTCAGTTCCTTTTCTAGTTCCCGTACTCATGTAAATATAATAAATGTATTTGGCTTCCCTTTAATCTATTACATGACACAGAGAGAGCATATAAAAGATAAGAGTGGGTTTTACCTCTGTACAATTCTATATCTTCAAAAGAAAATACAGGATAAATCCACATATAATAGACATATTTAGACAAAAATTTCATAAATATTGCAAGAAATGCTGCTTTTGTCTTTAAACAAAATACACCCTGAGTTTCACATCAAGCATAAAAAAACGAGCATGCATATTTTTGCATAGGACCAATGACATCAGACCAATAGTGTCCATACCAAAGTTGAATTCAAACCTACATACTTGCCTGCTGGTATGTGCAGATCTATTTTGACTTCTTAAATATTAACTGACGGGTATTAAAAGGTTTTTGTTTTGAACATGACTGCAAAGAGGGGCTGGTAAAAGCAAAGGGATGTTTGCAACAAAAAGGTCCTAGTCTTACAACATAATAGGTTACAGCTGTTCCTCTAAACTCTTGAATGTTCCTGGGAAGCACTGAAGCCATAATTCAGAGGTAAAGAATATAATTTCATCATACACCAGCCATGGTTAGTTCCCGCTCATAATAATCTCACAAACGAGATAACATAAAGACCTATATAAATAATTTTTTATGTTCTTACTAGGGATGAAAGAGTTGATCATATTCATTGTGATTAATCAATTATTGAAATAATTGTCTAATAATTAAGTAATTGATTGATTTAATGTGAGTATAGAGACTCTGAAACATGCCTTTAGTTGAAAGAGCAACCAACTTGAATCAGTTTTTATACCAAAAAAAAAAAAAAAAAATAGAAGCATTTTGTTTTCAAGATAAAAAACTTTTTTGTTCATTAATATGTTCTATCCAGAAGTTAGACTCAGACAACTTTTACTGTTGAAATTGATTAAATTTCGTGTTGTACAGCTTTCAGACAGTAAATGAGCAGCAGCTTTAGCAGTGAAATGAACATTTCCATTCCATTAAGTGCAGAAATGATCAAATATAAACACTGTGGGAGAAAAAACATGGTGCAAAATGCAACGATATGTTGTGTTTTAGCTTAACTTGGTTTAAGTACTGTGTAAAATATTCATTAAAGAGCCTTTTGCCATCTGATTATTAATTAAAAAAAAGCAATCAATATATTAATCATTTAGCAAAATAGTTGTCATTTGCTGACCAAATAATCACCAACAATAGTCTCTTCATATTCATGGTGCAAGACTCCATTATTAAAAACGAATAAAAATACACATGGAAGCTTGTTTACTTGTTAACTTGTTAACTTTCTGTCCTTTTTTCACAGTCTCCTTAACAACAATAATATACGGCGAATTCCCAGGGGAGCATTTGAAGAACTAGAAAACTTAAAGTATCTGTAAGTTGGGTTTTTTAAATTTATTTTTGTTTTGTTTACTGTTTCTGTTTATGAGGCAGGTTAATCTCTGGTCTTAAATTACACAAAACTTTCTTTAAGTGTTTTCTCTCTCCCCTCTTAAAACTACATTAGCTCATGAGCGAGTCTGGTGATCATTGCGCCTGACCCGGTTTTTAGCAGTTTTTTTTCTGTCTGTTTTTGAAAGAGGGTATTGTTATGAATGAGGCAGAGTCATTTGGACATTTTGGTCATAGCCAAAATAAATTCCTGCACTAAGAACTCAATGATATAACTGGCAAGAGGAGAAACTTTATGAAGAGAGTATGTTTAAAATGCAGTAACTAGAGGAATATCATGTGTAATTTACAAAAACAAATTGCCTGTACCGGTCGGAGACATCAGGTTTCTCCCAGAAAACTGACTAAGTTCAGTAGGTGTTTATAGACTAACCTTTGGCCCACCCTGTTTATGATAAAACATATTACTAGTGAACAGGACAGTTTCGAATATGATGTTTTAATAAACGTATATGTTAGTATTAATACTTAAACACCAACTGCGGAAAAATAACAAATATTTTTTGCTCCCAAGTTGAATCCCAATTAAGTCCTTGGTTGCTGCAAAGCTGACAAAACATATAGGGCCGGATCTATCAAAGGTTTGCGTGTATAAAAACGTGAGCTATTTCACTGCGCACGCTAAAAAATGTACAAA